AGAAATCTGCCTGAATGTAAATGCTTTAGCTGAACCCCTTGGGGTGGGGGGGGTGGCAGTGCTGTTGGGAGGCAGTGGAGCCGTGGCCTGGGGGTGGCCGGGTGCCTCCAGGACAGAGCCCAGCAGCGCCTCGCTCCTTGCCACACTAAACGCGTTTGGCGACTATGGCTCCGTGTCATCTTACCGCGTGGGCCCACACCCGGAGGGGCCCAGGAAGGAGGCGTGCCCGTGGGCTGGGCCCATCCGCCCGGCCACAGTGGAGGCGGTCTCTATCTCGCTTAATTACAGGCCCCCCAGGTCTGCTGTGCCAGGGGAGTGAGTCACGGCTGCCCAAACCTGCTTCAAAGGAGCCGAGTGGCTCGGCCCCCACCACCCCGCTCCGCCAAATGGTCACTCCCAGAATTCCTGGGATCAGAGCACCTGCCCGCCAGAGCGTTTGCTCAAAAGCAGATCGCTGCGTGGTCTGCACCTCTCCTTAATTCTGTCTGGTGTCTGCTTTCCTTCCTGTCGAAGTGATTTTGGAGGCTGATAGCCCAGGTTGATGGAGACAATTACAATGACAAGCGCACAGCACAGGCAGCGAGAACAAGCGAGGATCGGGTCTCCCTGAGGAGCCGGCGGGTCGGGGCCAAGGATGGCGTTATACCGCCACCTCGTGGTTACAATGAATCTGCTTGTAAAGTAAAAAGCCAGTTTTTCTACAGATTGAATGACATATTGATTAAAATCAGGAAATGAATGGATACGAAAGAATAAGAAAATACAGACCAAAATAATTTCGTCCAAAATAATTATCCAGGCCAATTTTTGAAAGGATCCCCCACAGAAGTCCTACAACTTCATGCACTGACCTTTCTCAGGGCCAAATATGAGTTCCCACCATAGCCTGAAATTACATAAAATGGGAGTGGGGGGGGGGGGGAGGGAGCTGCCTCCTTTACAGCAATGTCACATTAGTGTGAAATGATAGTCTCGGTCGTGACTGTCCAGCGATGAGCCGACGGGGCGCCTGTTCTAGAACAAGGAGAGCTGTGCACAGCTAGGAAAACTGGACCTGCTGTTTCCCGACACTCCCCCCTCAGTGCCCAGCTGGTGGGCGTCGGACAGCTGTGAGTGCAGGTACAGCGCGGGGCCCCTCTGCTCAGTGTCGGATAACTCGGCGACTGTTCACACACGTGGTCTGACCGCGAGGTGTGTTTTATACTTTGAGGAGATGATAGTCTAATTGAATGCGACTGGATTGAGGCAGGTAAGAACAGCACTGAAGTATCACCATGAACATACCAGGAGGGAGAGCCCCAAGTCTTCGCACATTTCTGCGGGGATGGACTCATTCTGGGGACTCGGAAAGTACTTCCCTTGATAGAGGAATCGGCAGGAAGCAGTGCGGTCCTGGGGCAGTCAGGGTATCGCGGACTGGGAGCCTTGGAGTGTCTTTCCCATGAGGCTCCTAGCCGATAAGGGCACCGTGTGGCCTGTGGCAGGCCCTTCCTCTCAGGGTAACTGACCTCCCAGACACCGCGCCTCCTGCTTCCTTATGTGTCCCTCTGTCGCTGAGCCTGGGAAAGCCTTCGGCGTGGGAAGGACAGTGTTCCCACCACCGCTCAGATTAAAGCAAAAGCTGGACCCTGAGCACTGTGTTTAGCTCATGGAACCCTCCCCCGACCCACCCACCCCCGCACAGGGCCCAGCTGTGGAGGAAAGGCCAGAGCCTCCTAGGACAGCCCTGGACCCCTCACAGGAGGCCTCCGTCTCCTCACCAAGAAGGAAGAACAAGGAAGTCACATGTGCATCTACACACCTGGGGTCAGTCCAGCTGCACACCTGGGAGTGAGTGCACCTGCACACCTGGGGGTCAGTGCATCTACACCCCGGGGGTCAGTGCACCTGCACACCTGGGGGTCAGTGCACCTACACACCTGGGGTCAGTCCAGCTGCACACCTGGGAGTGAGTGCACCTGCACACCTGGGGGTCAGTGCACCTGCACACCTGGGGTCAATGCATCTACACACCTGGGGGTCAGTGCACCTGCACACCTGGGGGTCAGTGCATCTACACACCTGGGGGTCAGTGCATCTACACCCCGGGGGTCAGTGCACCTGCACACCTGGGGGTCAGTGCACCTACACACCTGGGGTCAATGCATCTACACACCTGGGGGTCAGTGCACCTACACACCTGGGGTCAATGCATCTACACACCTGGGGGTCAGTGCACCTATACACCTGGGGGGTCAGTGCATCTACACACCTGGGGGTCAGTGCACCTGCACACCTGGGGGTCAGTGCACCTGCACACCTGGGGGTCAGTGCACCTACACACCTGGGGTCAATGCATCTACACACCTGGGGGTCAGTGCACCTATACACCTGGGGGTCAGTGCATCTACATACCTGGGGGTCAGTGCACCTACACACCTGGGGGTCAGTGCACCCTCACACCTGGGGGAGGGCAAATCTGTCTCAGTTGTCGGTTAGCCACCACAGTTTAAGTCGGCGATGATCAGAGAAGTATGATTCCCGGGAGGCGTGCTGTGAGGTCAGAGCCACCTGTGTGTGGCCCCTCCCAGGGCAGCTCCTCTGCCCCTCTCCTCCCCCCTGACTGTGTTGCTCCTGGTCTGTCCAGCTGCACTGGAGGCTCCTGGGGGCTGGAGGCACGTTGGCCTTGGAGATCACAATGTGTCTGACCAGGAAGCATGTATCAGACGACGCTCATTCTCTTCACTGTGAGATTGTTGTCCGCAATGAGAACTTTTGGGGAAAAAGTGTTTCTTTTAGTAGCTTCTCAGCCAATTCTAGTTGAAGGGGAGTTAGCCAGGAGTTCAGACACATTTTTTCTGAGTTACACCCTTTATTCAGAAGCCCGTTCTAATAGCTTTGATCCTCTTTCTCCCTACACTGTTCTGATGGGCTGGCACCTCACACATTTCATTGTACTCTGTCAGCTCCCCTGGGGAGAGAGAGCTCAAAGAAGAGAGAGTCGTACAGAGATGAGAGGGCGCTGAAGGCCCACAGCTGTCACGGGACCCAGGTCTGGCAACTGTTTCCTCAGACCTGCACTTGCTTAGCAGACACCAGTGAACGCTGCCGTGCGATGGAGGAGGGATGGAGGAAGCAAGCACACGCCTGCATACAGGTCACCTGTGCGTGCTTCACCACGCATAGAACTATCCCACATGGATCCCTAGGCTGCCCCGACATGTGCGTGCGTGGGTGTACCTAATAGCTCACTGTGGTGCCAATGTGTAGTCTGAGTTTAAAGTGACTGGTTCATTGTTTCAGCAAATCCTAAGAGAAGGGGCAGGGATGTCCATTCGTTAGAGCTGCCTTGGGGCAGACGAGCTGGGCGCTGTGGCCGCCGTGACCTGACCATGACCATGTGTGGATTGTTTACAAACCACCTGGGATGAGGGAAGCCCCTCCTACTCAGGAAGGGGTGCGCGTATGCACTGGGAGCGTGGGAAGTGTTCCTGTTGATTCCAGGACTGAGGAGCACGGCCACCTTGTCTGCTAGAATCGTCTGTGTACATTGCAGGCACAATGCGGTTTTTTTTTCTTTTTCTCCAGCTTTTTGTTATTCCTCAACCTTATATATTCAAGTTTATGGGGAATAGTTCACCTGGAGAAGATTTGGTCCCGTTGAGCCGCCTTTGCGGAAACAGCTTTAATTCCCGGTTTCTCTGTGCGCTCCTGTGGCCATAGGCCGCCGAGTGCTGGCTGGCGGGGTTGCCAGTGATGGCGAGATATGGTGACAGCTCCTCCAGCCAATGAGAACGGAAACAGCCAGTCTTTTTCAAGAAAATACGTTTTTTCTCCCTGGGGAATCAGGCCTAAGCTGGCAGTCAGACATCCTGGCAGCCCTCGGGGGATGTCCACTTGCCAGCGGGGAGCAGGCCTAAGCTGCAGTCGGACATCCTTAGCGCTGCTGAGGAGGCAGAAGAGGCTCTCACCACCGCTGTTCTGGCAGCCGTCAGCCTGGCTTGTGGCTGAGCAGAGCTCCTCCCTGTGGGAGCGCACTGACCACCAGGGGAGAGCTCCTGCATTGAGCTAGCAGAGTGGTGCCTGCAGAGTGTGTGGGGCTAGCGGAGCGGGGCGTACAGAGCGGTGTGTGCGGGGCTAGCGGAGCGGGGCGTGCAGAGCGGTGTGTGCGGGGCTAGCGGAGCGGGGCGTGCAGAGCGGTGTGTGCCGGGCTAGCGGAGCGGGGCGTACAGAGCGGTGTGTGCGGGGCTAGCGGAGAGGGGCGTGTAGAGCCGTGTGTGCGGGGCTAGTGGAGCGGGGTGTGCAGAGCGGTGTGTGCGGGGCTAGCGGGGCGGGGCGTGCAGAGCGGTGTGTGCGGGGCTAGCTGGGCGGGGCGTGCAGAGTCGTGGCAGCGATTCATGAAGAAAGCATTTCGCAGAGGCCTGGCCCAGGCCCGCGCTAAGCTGTCCCAGCACCGCCCTGTGCTGCGCCGTCCTTGTTCATGGTCTTGTCTTCCGCTGGGGCTGGTTCTCAGCACAGACCCCATCGCCTGGAGCTGTGCGTACGGGAGTTTGGAGAAGCACAGGGAACACTGGCCGTGAACATAGGCGGCCACCTACTCGGATAGACAGCTGTTTTCGAGGTGAATGAGAGACATCCTACAGCCTTGACTGCACTGACCTCTAACCTCTGGAAGAAAAGCAGGGGAGGGGAGCTGGGGAGACGGTGGGGAAGGTGCAGGCTTCACGTTGGGGACCACCATGGAATGAATGCTGTGCCCGGGGAGGCAGAGACTCCAGCACACGTGTGCCTGCTGTGGGCCTGGGTCCTGCTGCACACAATGGCACCGAGGAATCTACCTGCTAACGTACTGGCGCCATCAGGAGACACAGGCCTGGACGGCCAGGGGACGGAGGGCCCGCACACAGGCACTCGCCTCCCTGCCCCTGACCCTGACCCTGCCCAGCCATCCTCGGGGGGGGGGGGGGGGGACTAGTTAGCAGGTGCTGGTGCCTTGTCACCTGAGACATTGTTTCAAACAGGTTGGTCTCTGCGGCGGACGCAGCCCTCGGCCCGATGCCACCAGGTCTGGAGGACTGACCGACGCGCCAGCCGGCGCCCCCTCCGGCTCCCGCCATGGGGCCCTCCGGGAGCCTGCTGGGCGGACACCTGCAGATTGCCCTGTGGGGAAGCTTGGCAGCTGCCGCCACGCTCTTCCTCATCACCTTCCTCATCTTCCTGTGCTCCAGCTGTGACAGGTGAGAGCCCGCGCCCTTCCAGCAGCCTCAGAAGAGACTCAGCACGCGTCATTGAAGAGTCTGGATATGGCTTCCTCCCCTGATGGCTCTGTCAGGAGAAGCAGAGCTGGACTCTCCGGACCCAGGAGCCCCTCCTGCCTGCCCAGTGGGACCCAGGCTTGTGGGGCTGGGACCCAGTGACCAGGACCAAGTGGGCCTTTGCTCCCAGGCCTGGGCAGCCGCCTCTGTCGTTGTCGAGTCTCCCACTAGGGGGCGCTGTTGCTTTGTGCATCCGTGGGAACGTGCTCTAGAACTGATGGCTTCCTAGCCTGTGCGAGTAAAAACAACTTCTATTTTTACTCTGCGGACTTTTCCACAGCCTGGAAGGAAGTGCACATGACTCATCCTGAGAGCATGCGCCCTTCCTGACGTGCCAGAATTTGTCTTGTCTGATTATTTTCTGAGGCCCCTGCAGTGTGACTGCAAAGCCTCCAGCTGGGAGAACAGGAGACGTGTCTGGGTGCTCTTTTTTTAAGGCATCGCTCGCCCAGTGTTCCCTCTGGTGGGCACCCTGCTGTGACTCGCCCGGCCCCTCCCGCCCGCGCCTGTCCGGCTTTGCTTCCCTGGCAGTTAACCTTGGTCTGACATTAGGATGGGAAGAGGGTGTGTGTTTGATTTTAGATGGCGAGTGTGATATCACAGGAACATCTTATTTTTCATTTCAGAGAGAAGAAGCCGAGACAGTACAGCGGAGACCATGAGAACCTGATGAACGTGGTGAGCCCCAGTGCATGTGTGTGTGTGTGCGTGTGTGCACATGTGCATCCATGTGTCTACATGTGTGTGCTCTTGCATCCTCATGTGTTCGTGTGTGTCTGCGTGTGTGCATGTGTGCCTCCATGCATGTGTGTCTACATGTGCATGTTTTCAAACACCAGCCACTCATCTAAGCGTGTTCCCACAAGCTGACAATTTCCTTCCGGAAAGAACAGCCTGAGCTCCCAGCTGCCTGGGCGGGTCCTTCCTGCAGGTGCGGGCTCACCACGGCCGGAGGCCTGTGCATGCAGCAGGCTGCTGGGGGGCTCTGACAATGGGTGTAGTTGTGCGGGGCCTGGGAGGGAGATCCTGAGGGAGCCAGGGACTACAGCAGGGATGTGTCTTTGTTGCGTCTGCCCCGCTCTAGCTCCCGTGGTCCTTCGCTAGGGCTGTCATAACGAAGGACCACAAACGGAGTGGCTTAAGTAGCAAGTCTGTTGCCTCGGAGCTCTGGAGCCAGAATCCCGGGAGGTGTCAGTGGGTTGGCTCTGAGGGGATGTCACTGGTGGCTGGCTGGCGTCCTTGGCATTTGCGGTGCCTCCCTCATCACGAGGTGCCCCCCCCCCCCCCGCCCACCCTGTGCGCCTGTCTCTGTCCAAGTTCCCCCTTTGCAAGGACTCCAGTGAGACCTCCTCTTAACTGGTTTCATCTGCAATGACCCTGCTCCCAAATAGGGTCACTCCCAAGGTAGCGGGGCTGGGCCTCCACAGGGGCTTGGGGAGGATACAGTTCACCCCTAACAGCTGGCCACCAAGCTCACTAGGGCCTGGGAGCCCCAGCAATGCAGGTGTGGCCTGGCCTCGCCGTCTGCAGGTGTGGCCAGGCCTCGCCTTCTGCGGGTGTGGCCTGGCCTCGCCGTCTGCGGGCGTGGCCGGGCCTCGGTGTCTGCGGGTGTGGATGGGCCTCGCAGTCTGCGGGCGTGGCCGGGCCTCGCTATCTGCGGGTGTGGTCGGGCCTCACTATGTTCTGCAGCCCTCGGTGTCTTCCGGGTCCTGACCCAGCCCTGAAGGCACTTCAGGACCACCTGGGAGGAGCTGCCTGAGCGGCCTGAGCAGCCTGGTCCTTGTGGTGAGAGAGAAGGGTTCCGCGCTCAGGTGCATGCCCTTGACCCACTGAGTCATTCCAGCAGTGGGGCCGGCCCACCCTCGTGTTCACAGAGGCCCTGCCTGAGCCCCACACGGTGCCCACACAGAGCCTGCTCCCGGTCCCGGCGTGGTCTCCCGCTCCCAGCGTGGTCTCCCGGTCCCGGCGTGGTCCCCCGGTCCCGGCGTGGTCTCCCGGTCCCGGCGTGGTCCCCCGGTCCCAGCGTGGTCCCCCATTCTGGCGTGGTCCCCCAGTCCCAGCATGGTCCCCCGGTCCCGGCATGGTCTCCCCGTCCCGGCATGGTCTCCCTGTCCCGGCATGGTCCCCCGGTCCCGGCGTGGTCCCGTGGTCCCCCGGTCCCGGTGTGGTCCCCAGGTCTGGCGTGGTTACCCGGTCCCGGCGTGGTCCCGGCGTGGTCTCCCGGTCTCGCGTGGTCACCCGGTCCCGGCGTGGTCCCCCAGTCTGGCGTGGTCCCCCAGTCCCAGCATGGTCCCCCGGTCCCGGCATGGTCTCCCCGTCCCGGCATGGTCTCCCCGTCCCGGCATGGTCCCCCGGTCCCGGCCTGGTCCCGTGGTCCCCCGGTCCCGGTGTGGTCCCCAGGTCTGGCGTGGTTACCCGGTCCCGGCGTGGTCCTGGCGTGGTCTCCCGGTCTGGCGTGGTCACCCGGTCCCGGCGTGGTCCCCCAGTCCCAGCATGGTCCCCCAGTCCCGGCATGGTCTCCCCGTCCCGGCATGGTCTCCCGGTCCCGGCGTGGTCCCCCGGTCTCGGCGTGGTCCCGTGGTCCCCCGGTCCTGGTGTGGTCCCCAGGTCTGGCGTGGTTACCCGGTCGCGGCATGGTCTCGCCGCAGGCAGCACGTGTGGAGTCAGCCTGTTAGGGGGGAGGCGTAAAGCCAGCAGGTAGCAGGCAGGCTCCATGCTCACCGAGGCGTCTCCAGGCTCGGCCACCCTGCCCGGCAAACACCCAGGCAGACACGGAGCTGCTGGAACCCTCTCCTTCAGGGAACCCCCGGGGGTCCCTGCCCTTCTGCTCCAGCGCACCCGCTGCCATCCTGGGGTTCGCGGCACCACCCCTCGGCCTTTGTCCCACCCGTCTCCGCCTCTGGTTGTCCGCTCCCGTGGCCTTTCTCCTGGCGGCTAAGGGTAGAGGTGGTGGCAGAGCCCAGGTGTGGTCATTCCGCCGGATGGATTGTTACGGGAGGCCTCCTCCCTCACACCTGACACCCGCCCAGGCAGCGTCCCTCCTGCGATGTTGGCATCTGTTCGCGGTCCTGGCCGCCTCCCACAGTGGCCCATCCCCTGGGCACCTCCCCTGAGTGGAACAGATGAGTCCCACAAGCTTGGGGACCTTGACGCAGCGTGAGCCACTTGCACTCCACTGTTGTGTGGCTCCCAGTCCAGAGTCACATGTTCGAGGCCCGCGGGCCAGGCTCCCAGCGCTCTTCGCACCAGCGTTCTCCAGGGGGGACCGGAGCAGGTCCAGGGCGGCCTCCTGGCCCCCATAGGCCACGTGTTCTGTCATGGGTGGGGGCAGACCTGGGAGCCGTGGCTCAGGCGCCACGTGAGTCCAGCTGGGAACTTGTAGAAATGCATCATCTGCCAACTTGATGATACCCATAGCCATTGCTTGGCCTGGCCATCGTCTACGCACCTACGCAGTCGAGCCCAGCAGAAAGCCTTCGCTCCCCACGCCATCCCCCCTCCCAGGGCCGAGGGTCAGGCTCGGAGAGGCTGCAGACCTGCCTGTTCGCCGCTGGCTGTTTCTGAGCTAGAAGCAGACCCGGCTGGGTATGCGCAGTCTTGGGGGTTGAGGACGTTAGCGGTCATTGCCAGGCAGACTGGGGTCCCTTCCCTCGGGTGACAGCAGCGGGTGGCCTTTCCCGTGGTTTGCCTGGCGTGGCTCACCTTTCAGAATAGTGTTCATAGCACCTGGGCCAGGGCTGAGGCTGTGCTGGACTCCACCGTGACGAGCAGCAGGGGCTTCTGGTCCCCGCCTCCCCTGCCGCGAGGGGCTGACCCCTCACCGCCCACGGGGCCATCTGCAGACCGCAGGTGGGAGGTGCCCGTGCCCTGGCGATGCCGGGGCAGCCTCGTCCAGCAGAATTTCCCACCAGGACGTGGGAAAGGGGCCCTCGCCACACGAGGCACAGAGCACGGGACGTGTGCCGAGTTCATGGGCAACTGGCGTCTATTTAATTTCCCTTCATCTAAACCGAAGCAGTGGGTGTGGGCTTTGCGGATGTTCCCGTTTTCAGAAAGAGGCTCGGACTCCCCTGGGCGGGGGGGCTGACCGCGTGCTCTCTCTTGCAGCCCTCGGACAAGGAGGTGTTCAGCCGCTCGGTGACCAGCCTGGCCACGGACGCGCCCCTCAGCAGCGACCAGAACGGCGCCCTCACCAACGGGGACAGTAAGTCCACGCCACACGGGACTCCTCCCCCACACCCAGGGCTCCGAAGGCATAGCCAAAGGCTAGGAAGTAGGAACGTGCTCGCTGTTTGCACCAGTTTCAGCAAAAGTCGCCTCAGGGATGGAAAGCTCGGGTGCTGATGGCTAGGGCGGCCCTGCTGACTCACTCGTCCTGAAGCCGCTGGCAGATGGCCGTTACCGACAGGCCCTCCTGCCCCTGCGAGAGCAGCACTAACGTGAGCAGCGTCACTGCCCGCAGCACGCAGGGAGGGCGGCCCGGGCCGCTGCCGCAGTTTCCACCAACTTAGGTCCGCAGCACAGGTGAAGGGACTTCAGCCCCAACATCAGCGTGGACCCGAGCGCCTCCTCCCTGCCTCGCCCTCGCCCTGGTCTCTGTTCCCACTGTCCCGCCCGCCTGTCTCAGTGGGCACCTGGTAATGCACCTGCCCACCTACCCCAGGCTGCTCTGTCCCGCTCAGCTCAGCTGGTACTTCCACTGTCTCTAGCCCAGTGATGGCGAACCTTTTGAGCTCGGCGTGTCAGCATTTTGAAAAACCCTAACGTAACTCTGGTGCCGTGTCACATATAGAAATTTTTTGATATTTGCAACCATAGTAAAACAAAGACTTACAGTTTTTATATTTATTTTATATATTTAAATGCCATTTAACAAAGAAAAATCAACCAAAAAAATGAGTTCGCGTGTCACGTCTGACACGTATGTGTCATAGGTTCGCCATCACTGGCCTAGACCCACCCTGCCCGTACCTCACTCCCTCACAGCCCCTCCCTCCCCCCTACCCCCACCTCTCTCCCTCACAGCCCTTACCCCATCACCTCTCTCTTAGCCCCTCCCCCATCACCTCTCTCACAGCCCCTCCCCCATCACCTCTTTCACAGCCCCTCCCCCATCACCTCTCTCACAGTCCCTTCCCCATCACCTCTCTCCCTCACAGCCCCTCCCCATCACCTCTCTCACAGCCCCTCCCCCATCACCTCTCTCACAGCCCCTCCCTCCACCCTGCCCCCACCTCTCTCTCTCACAGCCCCTCCCTCCACCCTGCCCCCACCTCTCTCTCTCACAGCCCCTCCCCCATCACCTCTCACTCAGGGGCTGCAAGAACTGGGACTAGGACCCTTTGAGACCATGGTTCTCCCTGCACAGGTTGGGCATTTACCTGAGGTCTCAGTCAGTGCACCGAGGGGCTGTGTTTAAACTCAGCTTCTGAGTCTCAGGCACATCCTTGGGACCACCTGTCCCACCGCTGCCTCTCGTGGCAGGAGGCCCTGCATGTGTGCGTGCGTGTGTGTGCATGTGTATGTGTGTGTGTGTGTGTGTGTGTGTGTGTGTATGTGTCTTGCACCCTGGGGGCAGAGCGCCCAGCTCAGAGGTTGGCAGCCAATGTGCTGGCTCGCTGGCACTCCGGACTCCCTGGGCGCTCAGGACTGACCAGGTCCACACCCCAGTGGCCACCCGTCCCCGTGGCACAGACGCCTGCCCCGGACGGCAGAAGTCCCCTGTGATGGCAGAGCCTTCAGAACGGGTAGGGAGTTTGAGGGTGGGGTCCGTGCTCACTTTCCCGGATGCTTTCTAACCCCCAAGAGAGACGGGTGTTTTTTTCAGGGTGAGCTGAGCACTGAATTCGTTCCTCCTCCCACTTAGTGTTTCAGGCGACAGCACAGCGAGGTGCCTGCCGCGGCCGACACGCCCTGGGCCCAGCGGGAGCATCCCAGCCCAGGCAGTAAAGATAAACAGGCTGAAACTGCATGTCGTAAACACAATGCCCCTGTGTGAAGACTGCATAGCACACAAAGCACATGTCAGGGATATGTCAGATAGAGTCGCACACGATAAACACGTGTGAGTGGAGGTATCATGCCTAGTTCAGCGTGCGTTTCCACGTGCACGCCCTCACACCTTCATGCCCGTGTACCAAAAATGTGCCTGGAGACGCGGCATCTGGGACCTTCCGGCCGCGCCTGTGGCCCTCCCCTCCGAGGGCTCCCATTCGGGTTTTCCGGGTGGAGGTGGAAATGGGGCGAGGGAAGGAGACCTGGTATGCAGGCCTCTCTGGCACTGCTGCAGGGCACATTTTTGCCCCATGATTCCCATCACGTCTGCCAAATCAAAGTGACCTTTGGAAGGTCCAATAAGGGGCGCCAGGAGGGCCGGGGAGCGTGGGCACCAGACATGCCCGCCGTGGGGCGCCCCGCCTTTCACAGTGTGGCCCTGACCATCACTGTCACACTCTGGGCTCAGGGACCTCTGCCCACCAGGTCCCAGCAGGGGTAACAGCAGGTAGTGAAAGTCCCCGAGAGCCAAGTATGTAGCCAAGACACTAAATGTTGTCGGGAAGACGTGATTGGACTGAGAATGTCGCTAACAAGCAGGCCGCCTGTGCCTTGCAGCCGAGTCGCACACAAGTAAGCACAGCAGCACTTCCCTGGGATAATAATTTGGGTGTCTTTCTCCCCTTTCCGTCCGCTCCAGTCGCCTCGGAAGGCAGTGCCGGGACCTGCGCGCAGCATTACGAGGAGGTGCTGGCCGCGGCCTCCGACCTGCCGGACGCCCAGGATGGCTCAGGGAAGCCTAAGGGCCACCAGAGCCGGGAGCTGCCCCAGATCCCCCCAGACAGCGCCGTGGACACGCTGGCCAGCGCCAGGAGCGTGGACGGGGACCAGGGGGCAGGGGCGGAAGGGCCCTACGAGGTGCTCAAGGACAGCTCGTCCCAGGAGAACATGGTGGAGGACTGTCTGTATGAGACGGTGAAGGAGATCAAGGAGGCGGCTGCACCCCCGGGCAAAGGCCCCGGCGGCCGGTCCAGGGCGGCCCCCGCTCCCAAGGAGCCGCCGGCACCCCAGACCCCCGGCAGAGCCGACTTCGCGGAATACGCCTCGGTGGACAGGAACAAAAAGTGTCGGCAGAGCATGAACGTAGACAGTGTGCTGGACCCTGCCCGGGACGCAGAGGAGGAGGCCCCACCGCCGGTGCCCATGAAACTTCTGGACGAGAACGAGAACCTGCAGGCGCAGGACAGGAGCGCCTCTGAGGGGACCCGCGAGACCAACAAGGTGAGCGCCTGTGGCCGCAGGAGTCGGGGCCTGGGCTCCTCCTGGCTGTGTTCGGGGAGATACACACACACACACACACACACACACACACGCACATACACGCACGCACACACCTGCACGCGAGTGCAGGGCAGGGAGGGACGAGCGCTGTTTTGGTGGAAGCTGTGTCAGACCTTTTCCCTCCAAGTAGTGGAACACCGAACACACAAGCTTATCAAATTGCTCTCTCGTGGCACCGTACCTGGATGTTTTCCCGATTTTGCATCATGTCGAATCGGGGTCAAGTGCTGCTTTCTTCCTTTTGAAACCGGGAAATAAGGAGCGAGACACGACTCTTGGCCGCGCAGTTCGTGCCCTCTGCCTGCCGTCTCCTCCAGTGGCCAGGTGACCTCTGTCCTCTCCGGTCCCAGCCCTCAAAGCAAGGAGCAGGCACGGGAGATGACTCATGGCGCCACTGGTTGTGTCCAACTAACTATACTGTTTTTTTAAAGCAATAAAGAAGAGTACAGTACTCTTTTTTAAAAAAGTCTATTTTTATTGATTTCCGAGAGGAAGGGAGAGGGGGAGAGCGATAGAAGCATTAGTGATGAGAGAGAATCATTGATCGGCTGCCTTCTGCAGGCCCCCCACTGGGGATGGAGACCGCAACCCCGGCATGTGTCCTGACGGGAATCAAACCTGGACCCCCGTCTGCAGTCCAATGCGCTATCCCTGAGCCAAACCAGCCAGGGCTGAACTTTATACTTTTAGTGGGAGATTGTGTTTTGTGACAATTTCTAGACAACAGCCCGTCCCTCCCATTTAGATATTCAGCAAAGCTCTAAGTGCCACGACCCGCAAGCTCTCCCTGTGCTTCTGTGACCTGGTGTGTGACCGACGGTCCCGAGACGTTCTCCTCTCCCGTGGGGTTTCACTAGGTCTTCTTTAGGCAGCTGACATCTAGTTACTATGTTCTACACAGAAAAAAGCAAGTTTGCTTCTTAGGTTCTGGTAGGAAGGCCACATAGGGGTCAGTCTGACAGTAGTAGCCTTTAGACCAGCAGTACTCAACCTTCTGGCCCTTTAAATACAGTTCCTCATGTTGTGACCCAACCATAAAATTATTTTTGTTGCTACTTCATAACTGTAATGTTGCTACTGTTATGAATTGTCATGTAAATATCTGATATGCAGGATGGTCTTAGGCGACCCCGGTGAAAGGGTCATTCAACCGCCAAAGGGGTCGCGACCCACAGGCTGAGAACCACTGCTTTAGACCCATCTGGAGTTCATGGTCAGAAGTGAGCTCTGGCTCTAAGTTGGTCCTCGTAGTGTTTCCACTTTTCAGATTTTCCACGAAATCAGCTGCCCAGAGCCCCTACAAAGGTGATCATAGTCGTGAAATACAAACACAGTCTAATGTTTGCCCTTTGCATAACCAAAGAGGATGACACGAATGTAAAGTGTTTGTCCGTGAGGGTGGGTTCCTGGGGACCAGGGCGGGGCTGAGGTTACGGTGGGCCTGGGAGTCTGAGCCAGGGGAGCAGAAAGGAAGGTCCCGACGAGGCAGACACCGGGAGGGGCCCGGGCAGCAGCCAGCGCAGACGGGGTTGCCAGGAGTCCGGATGGTGGAGCGGCTGTGGGCTGTGGTTCAGGTACGAGGAGGTCGGGCTGTGGGGACCAGACGTGAGCAGTGGGGCCGGTAGAGGAGGGCGGTGGGGGAGGTCGGGGAACTGAGGGCTGGGTTTGAAAGGACGTGTGTTTGTTGAAATTGTTGAAATCGGGGAGAATGTGGGGAGACAGGAGAGGTGTGGGAGAAGCGAGGCAGGAGCCTGCCGCCAGCGCGAGCTGCCTCTCCGTTCGCTCTGAGAAGGTTCCCGGTGGCTCGGGAATCTTTCTGACGACTCGTGCACACTGTCCGAACACAAGGTCCAGGCATGCCATAAAGAAGCCATGTTTTTTATGATCGATTCTTCATTGATGATCAACCCGTCACTGACAGGAATTGAAACAGTAGTCTGTTTGGCTTATTTGTACCGACCGGTTCAAATACAAAAGTGGAAGAAATGTCTGTACTGCTCCTGGCTCTCCAGAAACAGCACAGAGGAGGCTTCTTGCGTGTGTATTCCTCTGGGCTTTACACAATGTCATTGCAGAACAGCCTTGATTTCCTAACAGTCGTCTGAGAGCATTCTTACAGAAAGATGCCACACACAGGCGGCAGCAGGCATCGACGTCACCCCCCCCACCCCCCACCCCCGTTTCTGTTTTCCTCACAGAGGTTCAGTGCCCTGTCGTACAAGTCCCGCGAGGAAGACCCGACTCTCACAGACGAAGAGGTGAGTTTTGCGGCTTTCTAAAAGGAGTTTGTTGGTTTTTAGAGAGAAGAAGGGAGAGGGAGAGAGAAGGAAAAAAACACTGATGTGAGTGCATCGATCGGCTGCCTCCTGCACGCCCCCTACTGGGGATCGAGCCCACAGCCCGGGCATGTGCCGTGACCCGGATGGAACCTCTTGGTGATGGGATGACACCCAACCACTGAGCCACACGGGCCAGGGGAGGGTCATAGCTTTGTAATCACCAGGAAGCCCCTGTGGTGAGACCAGAGTCCCTCCTGGTGCCCCGCGTCGCTGACCCCCCGTGTGAGTGGCTGAGCCTCTGACATGTGGCGGGAGCTGGGTCCGGGTGCCGGCTTGGCAGTGGCTCAGGTGGAGGGACTGGCAGGTGGGTGGGCAGGTCCGCTGAGTAAAGGAGACCGAGTGGGAAAGGAGGGTCAGGAAAGCCCGGGGGGGGGGGGGAGAGTGGAGGGAAGAGGAATAAGAGAGGGACTTAGGAATGAGAGTTTACTTGGCATTCTGACATCTGCACAAGGGGAAGGCCATCATGGGTTGGAAAAAACAGGAAAGTGGAACGGCTGGGGGTGCGGAGGGGGTGACCAGCAGGGAGCCTGAGGCGGCCGTCTCAGCGAGGGGGCTGCAGGCAGAGGGCGTGAGTTCCTGCCAGGCCGCGCCAGCCTTACAGCCAACAAGGAACAAGGCCGCTTGCAGGTTCTCCCAGCTCCGGGCCGAGGAGGCGCTGGTTAAAGGTCCGGGGAGCGTGAGAGGTGAAGGCCAGCCGTGCGTTGTCCTGCCTGTCTCGCCTGGCTCAGAGAGCTGGGCGCCCTCGGCGGCCAGGCTGCAGGTGGCTGCCCTCGGGCCCAGCAGGGAGTCCCGTCCGCGTGCAGAGGTGGTGGCGGGCGCAGGCAGCACCTCCTTGGGGGTCTGCGTGAGGATGGAGCAGCAGCCACTGCGGCCGGGGACAGGAGCAGAGGCTTGCCGAGGGAGGCACCTGCCATCTGGCCACCTGGTTGCGTAAGCCACACCTGGGGGTCATCCTTGACACCTTTTCCTCACTGTCCTCAGATGCAGCCAATAGCCAAGTCCCTCAAGTCCACCTCCAAACGGTTTCTTCCGTGTCCTGTCTCCATCCCACAGCCCCTCCTGCCTGGGCGGGCGGGCCCTGGCCTTCCTCCAGCGTCTCCCACACTGTGCCAGAGCCACCCCTTTGGGACAAGAGAATAGAATGTATAGGGAGTCCCAAAATTCACGCAAGAAGTAATTTTGATAGAAAACACAGGTTTATAATTAAAAATTGTAAATTTTTTATTGACTCATAAAGTATACAGTATAGGGTTATGTATGGAATAGCACATCGCGTAAATGGCCTCCACGGCTTTGCTGGCACATACGCAAAGCCGTGGTCTTCATTGGTCTTCATTGTCCCTGCTCCTGGGTCATCATTGGTACTTGGTAATGCTTATCAAATTGAAGGGATTGAAATCAAAGGGCAACAGATATTAAAATCTGATTCAATAAACCAAGTAAAATTAGGCTTTTATTTTTTGTTGTTGTTGTTGATGCTCACGCAAAATTCAAATCTTGCGTGAATTTGGGGACACCCTATATAAGAGACCTGGAAGCGAATCCTATTAAAATAAACCAAGACCGTGTGAAACTTTAAATTACTTATGAGAACATAATCTATAGACTGAGTAATAAAAATGAAAGATTTTAAAGCGAAAAAAAATCAAAGCTAAGGCCTTGAAGAGAAACCTGTATACAAAATGGAACTATAGTCACAGAAGACAGATACTCAAGAGGAATATGAGGAGACGTGAGAAACTTGTATCAGGAAGTGCACTGTGACGCTGTGCATGTGATGCTCGTGTCCAGGGATGATATCAGGGAGGAGCCTGTAGTTTGTTAGAAGAGGGTTTCTCCCCAGGGAAGGAACTGGAGGTGAGGGGTCGGCTGTCGCCTTTGCAGCACAGGTGCCGCTGTGTCTGTCCCCCTGTGTGACCCCGAAGATGAAGGTGAGCGTGGCTGGCCCCCGCATTACTGGCACCCACGACTTACCCCTTTATAGCCTGTCCACATTCCGGCTGCGACTACTTTCTAGATAAAAGGTTCCATGTGTTTGCAGTCACTGTGAAAAGCAGACGATTTATTCATTCTTCCCAAATTCAAAGAAATTGTGTCTTCATTTTGAGAGTCATTTTTCCATTGGAACCTCTAAGGTGAGAACGTTTGGTGAACAGTCGTCAGAATAGTCAGACCACCCATGGTTGCTCCTGTGCCTAAACCTTTGGGTCGTCCAGGCCTATGGGACCGTCCTCATGCAGATGACCAGTGGCCGTCCCGGAGGCCCGCGGCCAGCGGAGATTCCCCCCTTCGCGGGGGTCCCGTGGAGGTGGCAGAGCCCTCCGCACGCGCAGGCCAAGCGTCTGTCAGGAATCAGGACGTATGTTCATTATTCCTGGGTGTTTTTGTAAATCAGTCATGGAGCCAAGGAAGGAAATGTTTACTTATTTCCAACCACAATTTCTAACAGTAAAATAACAGCCCAGACCGTCTCCTAATCTGTACACCTGCTCTCCCATCACCAAGGCAAACTAAGTCTCTCTCACTGTGGGAGCCTCTGTGGGTACGTTAGGGACGCTGAGTAGCTTGGAAGACAGCCCGATCCTCGCACAGGAAAGTCTTCCCATCTCTGATTACCTCCAACTCCGCTTCTCAGTTAGCTGGTTGGAAATGAGAATGCCTTTCCCACCGAAGTTTCTGTGAGTGTTCGCTGAACCAGCAGCATGTGGTGAAAACAAAAGGAATGGGCCAGACTCTTACAAACGCGTGTGTGCGCCGACCAGCAGAGCTCAGGACCCGACTCCGGCCACGCTGTGCAGGACAGGCGGTCCAGGCCCACTTCCTGGCTCTCACACTCTGGGCGACAGGCCGGCCAGCCCCAGGTTTCTGCCTCAGTGGTTCTGGGGGCGGAAGTTGCCTTTCTTGTAAATTTCTGGGTCCTGCTGGTTCAGTGCCCACAGTGTGAGAATCTCGTCTCATACATGCTTCCTGCCAATTTCATAAAGGAGTGGAGCCCCTTGTCAGCCGAGAGAGGCTTCCGATGTAGAGACTGCGTCCCCCTGGGGCCTTGGGCTGCCGCTCCCCCCCCCCCCCTCCCCGCCCGCCGCAGGCTGAGAGAGCCGGGTCTTCGCGGGCTTGTGCCGACACGGCCGGTCTGCCTGAAGACAGCCTGTGTAATTGTTCTCTAGCAACGCATTCCAGGCACTGAAGAACCCACTTCTGGGCATTTATCTGAAGGAAGTGAAGTCATTGCCTCAGGAGGCACCTATACCCCACGTGATGCAGCGCTGGTCACACAGCCGAGACCTGGGAGCAACTCAGTGTAGATCTACGGACGAATGGACAAGAAAATGTGGTCTCGCATACATGTCAGGTGTCTGTGCGGAATATCCAAGTGGACAGACACAGTGGATACTATTCAGCCATAAAAGAAGGAAGTCCTGCCAGTTGTGACCTTGAGGCCATCTGCCAACTGAAGTTACCAGCCAGGGAAAGACAAGCAGTTTATGTTCCCAAATGAATGTGGCCTCTGAAAAAGCTGACCTCATAGAGATGGAGCAGACTGGTGGTGGCCAGGGGCTGGAGAGGTGCGGGGGGGGAGATGTCTGTCAAACGGTACACACTTCCGACTACAAGATGAACAGGTGCTAGGAGGGTCGCACCCCGCATGGGACTAGAGGTAGTGCTACGGTTGTGCTCTGTGCTCAGAATTGTTCAGAGAATCAAGCTTAAGTGTTGCCACCACACCCCAGAGCTGGGCGCCCGGTAATGGAGGTGTTCCCTGACCTTACTGTGGGGGTCCTTTCACAACGTACACGTGTATCAGATCGTCGTGTCGTGTCCCTTAGCCTGACACACGCTGCAGGTCGGTTCCGTCTCAATGAGCTGGGGGTGGGAATCTGATCCGGCTCTCCACACCGGTTCTTAAAGGGACACGCACCCTGGGTGCTCAGTCTCCAGTTTGTCGCTAAAGGGGGGAGGGGCGGTCCAGCTTGAAGGGTTTCTATTTGACTCGCCCTCTGTCTTCCAGATCTCGGCCATGTACTCATCTGTCAATAAGCCTGGGCAGTCGCTCAAAGTGCCCGAGTCCAGCGACACCTGCAGCCCGGGAGCTGCCCGGAGGTCCCCGTCCTCCTGCAATGACCTCTATGCGACCGTCAAAGACTTCGAGCAGCCTCCCAGCGGCGCGGGCACACTGGCCCCGGCAGCGAGGCCCCGGGAGCCCGAGCCCGACTACGAGGCCATCCAGGCTCTGAGCAGAGAGGACGAGAAGGCCCCCCTGGAGCCCAGCGGCCTGCGCGGCCCCTTCCCAAAGGAGAACGACTACGAGAGCATCGGGGACTTGCAGCAGTGCCGGGAGGTCACCAGGCTCTAGCAGCCCCCGCGCGGTCCGTCGGGGACAGGAGACCAGGGCGCTGTCCCTCCGCGTCACGTGCTGCTTCCTTGGCCGAGGGCATGAAGACTCCAGGACGGAACAGGAAGGCGCACACCTGGCTGCCAGTGCACCCTGTCTGCCAGGCACGGCCACACCAGCACAAGGCCCCGTGTTCCCACACCCTCGGACGGGTCCCAGTGTCAGGGGATATGCTGTTCGGAAGAGCCAGGTTCCCCTCTTCCTGCTCTTGGGGCGTCTGCTCTGGTCTCCTTGAAATTGCCCCATTTCTACTGGCTCCTTCCAAGGAAATCGCCCACAGGGCTTGGTCTTTGCCTTCAACGTAGGTGTTTTCAGATGGTGTTTTCAGATCTGTGGCTGCTGCTCCCGACGGATCACCCAGCGTCTTCTGGGGACGCCCTCAAGGGCCTTGGGTCTCCGTGCCTTCTGTTCTGGGCACTCCACGTCAGCAGCTTCTCCCAAAGGATTTGAAGTCACTTTTAGATGCTTTATTTTATTTTTCTAGCCAAAATGCCCGCCCCCACTCCCGTGTTTGAAACTTCAGAACCTTTGCAGTATTTGCGGGGAGTGCTGTGGTACTTCCATACTTGTTGGAGCCCGGAGCCCATTCCTCCAGCACACAGCTGGACGCCGTGCCGCCTCCTGGCAGGGCTGTGGACTGGACCTCGGGTCTCTGAGGATCTGAGCAGCCACACCAGCTGCGCCGGGCCCTCACGGTAACGGCCACCCTAAGGTCATCTAGCTGAGATTAAAATGTAAACATTTATTTTTGTTATCTAAATTTATAAGATGTCTTATGTTTAATGCCTAGTTTCTAGAAAGTGTCAGAAAAAATGTATATTAACTATTTTGATTTTATGTACAATGATTTATACTCTCATTTTGAAAAAAATCACCACAAAGCACATAAGCTAGGTCCTTACTAGTCGTTATCGTTTTTCTAATGAAGTATTTAAAACGTTGAAGGTTTTTAAAGACTCAGACTTTCCGAATGGTACTTGGAGCTCTTGGTCAACATCACCTAGCTCTCGCAGGAATCAGCGGAATAACCATAAGTGGCCGTTTGCAGTGGTTTGTGATGGGAAACATGTAAAATTTGAGATGGTGAGACGGGAAAGAAGAACAGCCTGACCGAGGTGCCTGGGCCACTTCCCGCAGGGCCATCCGCGGCGGCTCCGGGAAGGCAGCGTGATGAGCGTCACTGGGGGAGCAGGGGGCCTACCGGATTCTCTCCCCTTCACTTACAGAGCTCGGTGTTGGCAGTTACTCAGGTCGAGAGATCAGCTGGTTTGAGTTTAACCATCTCTTTAGAGGTCATGAGGCCGACTGTGGGACTTGCTCACTTTTCCCTCTACAAGGAGCCCCGGGGGCCAGGCCAGCGTCGAGGCGGCTGTCCAGAGGCCCCTGGCACCTGGGAGGGCTCGTCACTGGTGTGTCATCACTGTTTACACCTTACAGTTCAGTATTTCATAAATCCCATCACTTTTACTGTATTTGTTGCAAAATCTGTGCTACAGTCTTTGAATTGGACAAAAGCCATGACTTCTCTCAAAAAAGGTTTTCATATTTAAATGCTACAGTTTAAACATGAAAGGTAATTCTCAAAAAAAAATTGCTGTATCTTTAAAATTCAACTTTGGCATCCATATTAGGCATTGCATTACAATAACTTAGGTTATGTAAAATTATACAAAAAGATAAAAATAATTTTTAGGAAAACCTTTTCATCTCCTAAATCAGAATTATAAACTTATCTTGCTTAAAAATAGGATCTTTGTCTTTGTTCCGATATTTGTTACATTTAAAAGAATTTTTTCCCGCTCCTTTGACTGTTTCTCGGATACAGTGAGCAGGAAAGTGTCGCCTGTTTTATGTGAAATGTTTGGGTCCATGTTGTAGGTGCTTCCACGTGCATTTTTCCCCTGCCTGCGCACTCTGGAAGTTGCTGCTCTCCTTCATGGGGAAAAAGCAAATTACTGATTTATTTGCTCTCAAAATCCAAGAGTTCATTTGAATTGAGAGCTAATTAGCAATAGGTAGTCAACACAAAGAAATAAAACACAACCTCTGTTTCTCATAGTGGATTTTCATTTTTTTAATTGGAGCATTTACTAACTTTAACCAGTAACAAACTATATATATATATACACACATACACACACACACACATATATATGTATGTATATATATGTATATATATATACACATTCATATATATGATATATCTGTATATCTATATCTACTTATAGATATAGATATATCTCATATATATGTTCTGGTGCTTAATTAATTAGGATACATCCTATTATCCTATGTAGTGTTTTGAATGTTTATTTTACTGGTGCGAAGACTACCATCAGAGAAGCAGGACAGAAACAATTCTCCAGTAGCTTTCGCTTGCTAACTGTAGGAAAACCTTCTCCAGTTGCCCTGATTTAATTTTTCTAATGAATAAATTCAGACTTTAAATCAAATCCATAATTCCTTCAGCTGTACAGCAGTGGTATTTTAAGTAGTTGTCTTACCCATGTGACTCGGACAGGTGTTGGAGAAGAGATCTGGCCAAAAGCCCCAAGAGCCAGGACGGGCACAGCAAGGGGACCCGCAGGTCCCAGGGCAGAGCCACTCCCGTGGGGCCATTTCCCACACTTGCTTAGAGACCACAGAGTCCGAAGGCGCAGTGCAGTGAGCTGTGGGAGGTGACTGCTCTGAGCTGAGGGCCGGGCTAGCATCACAGCTTTGGTGCAAGACTGCACCAGGACTTTGTAATGAGTCAGCGACAGTTTTCAGTGCTTCTTGTGTTCGTGTGACTCCGCCGACCCGGGGATGCCAGGCCCTGATGGTGCCCGGCCTGCTTCGGCGATAAACCATGGGTACGACAAGCTCACGGGGCTGTGTGATCGGGCAAAGCTAACGTGTCACATGTGCTGTTAATAAGCAATGGATGTGAAAATGGGAACCTGTGTCTGTGATATCACACGTGGCTTCATTCACTTCCTGGGCCTGAGGCGGCGCTTTTTGCTCTGTGTTGTACCTTTCTTCCCTCTGCTGCTTCTGACCGAGGCGTTAGGCAGGTGTCCACACTTAGAAAGTATTTGAGGAAGAGATCAGTCCAGAAACCATGATAAATTGGAGTCTTCATCCGGAATTACCAAAGGAGACTAAATTGAAATCATGGCCCAGAGAGAACCGACATTCCTGCTGTCTCTTTAAGTCTGTGTTTACATCCCGTCTCCATATTTATAAAGGATTTCGTTGGTTTTCCAGGTTTTTCTTTCATTTAACCAGGAAATGGTAGTTCAGACTCCTCATCATGCCAGATGAAATGAGAAATGCAATTTTTGTTAAAAGCAATTTTTTTGAAAGCTTTCAATTTCTTAATCATTTATCTTAATGCGTTAGATTACTTTTTCTTTTTTTTTTCTTTTTGCTGCTCATCACTTATATATACATGGCTATTCTTTTTAATGTATTGGGCTCTGCGTGTCTTAGATCACCTTGTGTACTGGATTATAAAGGCTGGTAATTGTCATTCCTCAGACTTCTGTATGTTAAAGTGGCAACAGTAAATTTTTTGATGTTACCTTTTAAATAATTGTGTAGTATTGATATGCCTCATATATTCAGGAGAAGCTTGAAACATAGCTAAACAAATAGGAATTTGCATTTCACTGTTCATGCATTTTTTTCCTCATAAAAATAAGTTTCCCAAAAAGTGACTTATTGTCTGTTAGGTGGTCCTGAGGGGTTGCACAGTCCTCCTCTTACTCAAGAGGTCTCTGTCGTGGTCAAATTGTCCAATTCACAAATGAGCGGGGAAGCTGTTTTCAATAGTGGGAATTTTTAAACCTTCGTTTTAGTCCAAAAGTACCTGGAATGGGCTTCCGCAGCTTGTAGTGTTTCCCTTCAGGACCGGCTTAAAGATGGTGGGCAGGAAGGCACTATTGCTTCCCGTCTCCGCGGGCTCCACCTACACAGGTGACCTTCTGTCACTTTGCACAGCAGGACCCCTGAGCCTCTTCCCACACCAGCCCCTCCCAGTCCGCTGCTGTGGGAAGGACGCCCTATCGCGTCCACCTTCTCCAACACCAAGCACGGCCCCTGCCTCCCCAGAGCCGTCCCCTCCCAGGTGAGCAGACACCCGCCTCCCCCCCAGCTCAGTTTCCTGCCCCGCAGGCTGCCAGGCACGGCCCAGGTGCACCTGGGGAAGCGGATGCGCTGGTCTTGCTTGCCCGCATCTCTCATGAGCGTGGTTGGCGCTGAGGGGCCGCGGGAAAGAACCTTTGCAGTTCTGTTGAGAACTTGAACTCGCAAATGTAGGCACACGCTCCCTGACCATGCTCTCCCGGGGAGCTCCGCCCCCACAATGCACTGGGACTGCCCTGTCTCCCTGGGGTCCCATGAAGGTCGAGCTCTGTGGTGGACCAGTGGGTTCCTGTAAGGTAGGACGCTGGCTATTTTAAGGGGAGAAACCCTGTCTTGTAAGGAGTAATCATTTATAAAAACAAACTGAGTGTACCTTGTGCGTTTTGTCAGTTCTACCCAGTTTGAGGCCCCCTCCAGTCCCAGCATCGCACTGGAGTTCCCGGCCATTTCCAGGCAAACTGGCATTGCCAGGTCAGGCCGCGCCTGGCGAATGGGGACACGGGGCCTGAGGGTCTGGACACCTAAGATCCACCACCTTTCGTTTGGATGGTTTTGTTTAGTGTTGATGTTTTGAAGTTCACTCTAAGTGAACGTAACACCATAGTTAATTATCCAAATGGATAATCAGGAGTGTTATTTTTTCCAAATTGACAGAACAGATAGCTGCTCCTTCTCATTATATATTTACTTTCAAAAGCCCACCCACTATACCAGGTCGGCAGCCTGAGTAAGACAATGAAGGCGAAAAGAGACCAGCCCTGGCCCCTGGGGCCTGCACTCCGGGCCACCCGGTCGTAATGTCTGCTTTTGTTTGTGGTTTTTTAACTCAACAAGTTAGAAACTGTGAGTTTAAAACAAACTGTTTGCCCCTTCTTGAGCTTAAAGAGCATTATTTTTAGTTTGGGTCCTCACAGAGGTGGGGGAGGCTGACCCCAGGCCGGAGTCTGTCTGAGGACTTTGGCCGTTCCTTCGACAGGTCTGCGTGTTTTCAGTGAGCCTGCCGCACTGTGCAGGCCCCGCCGCAGCTCGCTCACCCGCACAGCCCATGTTTGCACACACTCCTCCTGTGCTGCTCCGGCAGCTCCCTGGTCCTGGGGTGGGGCTGCCCGCAGGGCTTGTCCCTCGGGGAGGAGCAGAGACAACGGCAGGAAAGCCAGCTTTGTGGACATCAACAAGCATTTGGGAGAGTCTGTCTGCTCAGACTTGGACACTTCTTTCTACTTTTTTTTTTTCCTGAGTCCCAACCACATACTTGCTTCTGGGGGTGGGCAGGGCAAGGATCAGAAGTAAAAACTGAACTAAGTGACAGGGCCAAGGCTGCCTGCCCCATCCCTTCGGTGTTTCTGTGTCTGGAAAATGCATTATCCCGACTCCCTGTCCACCACGGAGTCCCTTAAGAAGGGAGCCATAAGCAGGTAGGGAGGAGAGGCAACTCAGAGACTTAATCATTGTTTAGATATTTTCTTCTTTGTCAACTCAGGAATCAGCCTGGTTTGTGGGAGCATAATATGGCTAATTAAACTACAACGCGTAGGTCGCTGGACACGTCCTTTCAACGTTTTCATTTAAAGGCTTCTGACTGTTTTAGCTGGGAAGAGAGACCCCTCCTAACGGGGAAACTAACCTCACAAAAGACTTCTATAAACTCTTTCTAGAAGAGTGTACATCAGCCAGCATCTACCCCCAGAGTATGTGTTTCTTATCAATAGTATTTCAGCAATTTTTATGGGAGAAAAAAATGCACATTTTTTATTTCCTGGAAAAATGAATTGAGGTGTTGAATTAAATTCTCAGAGGGGATCGTTGAAAGGGAAGCACTGGCTTTGGAGATGAGCTCTTGGCTCTGTGGTCCCTGTTCCAGCATCGATTTTACTGTGTGACCTTGAACAAATGAATTAACTTCTCTGTGCCTCCGTTTCTCCACGTACACAATGGAGATCATGAAACCAACCACTGCCTACCTCATAGGGACGTTATGGGGACAAATGGGACCATCTGGAGGAACACCAATGCTTTGAACTCTGGAAGAAGGTGCTACAGGAATTGACATTGTATTGTTTTTTCTGACCCAAGTATTATGTTTAGGGCTTAAACAATAGCAATACTGTTAGTCAGGTTGGGAGTGAGTGTCAATTTCATGCCTATTTACAGCCCTCTTCTCGGCCAGGCCTGACCATCCAGCCAATCACGGTACCTAAGGACTGAGTGTTTGTTTTCTGTGTTTCTACCCATAGTGTTTTATTCTGAATGTTCCCAAGGCTGGGGGTTAACTTCTAATATCTTATTGTTTACATGTAATGGAACTTATGCGAGTTGTGTATAAAGAATAATTACAGGTAAATAGCAGGTACATTGTAATTAAGGCACTTATCAAATTGTCTTTGTTCTTTTTGTTTCAATAAAGGCCAGTTTTATATAAAAAGCTTGTTAAAATTCATTTGGTCTTTGGGAAGATCAAGAGTGGCTCATTTAGCCCAGCCGGCATGGCTCAGTGGTTGAGCCACGACCTGTGAACCAGGAGGTCCCGGTTCGATTCCCAGTCAGGGCTCGATCCCCAGCCTGGGGTGTGCAGGAGGCAGCCAATCAATGATTCTCTCTCATCATTGATGTCTCTCTCTCTCTCTCTCTCTCTCTCTCTCTCTCTCTCTCCCTTTCCCTTCCTCTCTGAAACCAATAAAAATATTTTTTAAGTGGCTCATTTATATGCCCGTAGTGTATAACCCGGGTCTGGAATTCCAGCCGCCAACTCGCCGCCCTGCCAGGAGGCTGTGCCGGTGGCTGGGCCGGGCGTGCTGGCTGGGCTCCCATACTCCGCAGAGAAGGTGCTGAGCTGGAGGCGGCTCCTGAGGCGCGAGGAGGCTGCGGGGCCGCTCTGTGCTGTGTCCACACGGAGCGAGGGGTCACAGTGCAGACCCCACCGGGCCTCTTGGGACCGCCAGGCCGTGGCACCTTGGCCTCAAGCCCCTGCTTCCTTTCTCACCGCGTGGCCAGTTTCCACACAAACTTTCCCAGAGCTGATGGTCCCAGCTCCACACTGTGGGAGTGCGCTCCGAACCCTGGGTCACGGCCAGTTTCCCCACCCGGCCCACCTGGGAACTGGAAGTTGTGTCGCCCGTGGGCAGGCGCAGCCCTCACAGCACGACAGCCAGGTGGGTATTTAACAGGAACTCCTTGCGGGGCGGGAAGGATTCTGAGACCCCAGCTGAGGCGGGCCAGGCGTGCTCCGTCCTTCGTGCCACTGTTAGAGAGGAGAGCGCGGGCGGTCCACCTTCCCTCCGCGAGTACAGTCCGCCCTCGGATTCTCTTCATTTCCTTAATGATTCAGGGTCTCTCTGCTCCTCTAGCGTCACCTTCCCGAATATTCGCTGTCGCCCTCACGATTCCTAAAATCTCAGGCCTGGACCACAGGGGCTCCAAAGCCAACTGTCCCGCAGGCATCACCTCTGTCTCACGCCTCCATCCGTGGGCCGTGTCATGGCTCTGGAGTGGAGCCTGCTTCCGCACGTTTTAACTCTGAGGTGTCGCCCCTGGAATAAGCCAGCTTTCTGCACACAGCAAGCACTCAACAGATGTCTGATCGGATCTGAATTCTCAGCGCCCCCCGCCACCCGCTCCCCCAACCCGCCCCGGCACCATCACTGCAGTCCTATGAGCCTGTCTTGGACTAGTGACCAGGTGTTGATAAACCCGCAGGACTTTATACCTGACTCCTCTCCTACCCAAAGCCTGTCTGTGGCTGAACTTCTGAACCGATGGCGGGGTCCGATGGCAGGATGTCCTCCAGGTTAAACCAGCCCAGAAAGCCGTGGCTGGGAGGGAGGGAAGCATCCGACATGTAGGCAAACAGCATCAGCACTTGGCCGGGCTGTCTGTTAAAACAGACAAGTCGTTCAAAACAGCTCTAAACACTCACTTCCAAAAGGAAAATACATACAACTGCAACATCAAAGGAGAAGAACACCTTAACGGGAAAACGAAAGGAACCACAGGAAAGCCATGTATTGATTCATTCCATAAATACTTACTGAGCACCTACTATGCGCCAGGTGCTGAGAAGACAAGCTGGAGCATACTTCCTCTGGCCGCGGTGCTGACCTTGACCTGCTCGGGGGTTATTCAGGGTCAGCACCTCAGGACCCCGTTGGCTGGACCACGTCTCTGGAGGCCTGCTTTCCCGAAGGCCGGTGAGCAGGTGCAGTGGCGATGAGACTGAAACGGTAACCCCGAGAAGGAGCACTCACAGCCAACGCCAGGACTCCCGCCGGGAAAACCCAGCTCTTCCCGCTCAGGGAGACAGGAAGCCGTTCGGACAGGCTGGGCCCCGGGCTTCTCTCTCCATCCTTCCTGCCCGGTCAGCCTGTCTCCATCCCAACGGTCTCTGCGGTACCTGCCGTCCCGCCACCAGATTGTCCTTCTAAAGAAGCGTCAGGACAGATGGCCTGCCTACCCACCACAGTCATCGTGAAGTCTGTCCTAATCCCTAGTCATTGGTGTAGGTGGAGCAGACACAGTGTCCACAGCCTAGGCAAGAAACACCGTTCCAGTGACCCTCACGTTCGACGGGGGAAGAAAAGACAAGATCACCAAAAAAACAACAACAGATCGCGTCACGAGTAAATACCTGAGATGGAATAAAGTAAATAAATGGTGGTGATGCACAGTGTGCCGTGAGGAGGGGAGGAGATGAAACCTTTTATGCTGGGGGTCAGGGAGGCCTTCCAGGCCTGAAGCAGCTGTGTACACCTTGGGGAGGTTTGGAGCTTCCTGGAGAAAGATGTTGGATAATATCACAGCGTGAAACGGTCAGCAGGTGGAAGCCACTGGATCCAAGAAGTTATGAAAGGAAAGCAGTGAGAGGCATCTGAGGATTAAAAACTACTTAGAAAAACAACAAGGAACACTAACAGTAATGGCAATGGACAACAAAAATCTCAGAACCGAAAACACTTCATTTTTAAAAGCTCCCCAGTAACTAACGAGGATGAGCAAGAGGAGAGAGTAAGGAATGTGTTTTTAGAGAGAGAAAGTATTCTTACTTTAGAAAATGTGAATTGGGTTTTGCTGGCCTGATCCCTTTAATTCCGGTGCATTCTTTCTTCGCACTGCCTGCAAATCAGGAGAAGGAGGGGTAAACGCTGCAATTACACTAAATGGGAAAACTGTGGCGTTTCCACGGAAACACGACTGACCTGACATGAGCCAAATCGGGGGCTCCTTGCGCGTAGAGGGTCGCCTCAAAGTGCAGCGTGTCCCCACTGACTTAGCTCCCTTCGCCCCGCCCGTGGGCGAGGGAGGGTGCACTGTGACCACAGCCTCCACAGGGACGTGCGAGACCAGGGCGTCACTGCACTGTCCTGCGTGGACACGCGGCGATGAGGAGAGTGCCCAGCAGCCAGCGGGAAGAAAGAATGCACCGGAATTAAATGGATCGGGCCAGCAAACCAATTCACATCTTCTAAATTGAGGTAAAAACAATTTTTCTCACTAAAATTATACTCCTTACTTTCTCCTCTTACTCATCCTCATTACTTACTGGGAAGCTTATAAAATGAAATCTTTTCGGCTCTGAGATGTTTGCTGTCCATTGCAATTACTGTTAGTGTTTCTTGTTGTTCTTCTAAGTAGTTCTTAATCCTCTGATGCCTCTCACTTCTTTCCTTTCATAACTACTTGGAGCCAGTGACTTCCCCCTGTTGACCTTCTACATCTTGTTACAAATATTTCTATCCCTTGGCACCAGGGGTCCCACTGCGCCCAGGACTACAGCAGCCAGTGCATCCGGGCTCTGCCTTAACGCGCTTCCAACACCACGTGTCCCCTCACACTTGGGGCCTCAGCTAAGGCCAGGCCTCCGCTGAAGTTCACCCCAGACTCTGCCATGTGGAGTGGGACGTCCACGCTGCCCGGGACCCCCGCCTCCCGTCTCAGCACTGCCATGTTCTCTTCCCTGTCTGGCCACGACCCATACCCCATCTCTCCAGTTTCCCCCACAGCCACTCCCACCAGCACTCAGGATGGGAACGTCCACTGATGGGCAGTCAGACCCGAACCCCGCATGTCGGGAGCTGCAGGCTCCACCCGACCGCTTCTTGGGACACTGGCCTCCCGGGGTCCGCACGTGAGCGCCCCTGAAATCTGTCTCCACTCCCACCGTGTCTAGGCCCTTCCCTGACACTGTGTAGGCACATTAATGGGCTTCCAGGTAGGAGGGACCCTGCCCTCCGGGTGCCCCTTTGCAGAAAGAGCAGCAGGCGGGCGGAGGCAGGGAGCCTGCCCTGTGCCTTCTCTTCCTCACGTGGCTGCGCGTCTCCTTCAGTCTGCAAAGCACCACCGCACAGTGAGTCCTTTAACCCACCCTCCCAGGCTGGGCCCTGTTTCCTTAAGAGGAAACCCAGCCCACCCTGTGCCCCTAGGGTACATGTCTGTGTAAATCAGGGGGTGCAGACACTTCTCTGTGTCCCCTGCACAGGCACTCCACTTCCCCACCCCCAGCAGGGAGCCGGGAGCACTGGTGCCAGCGATCTTCCTTCACTCCCATCAGTACTGACGCCCAAGCCAGGGCCCCCTCCTCCTTCTAAAACGCTGGGAGAGGTGCTCCTTCCCATTCGGCCTCTGGGACACTACATGCCGTCAGGTGTGCCTGGGCTGATGAGCGAAGGTTTCTACCCGACCAGCTCAGTGCAGAGTCTGGGCTACCCCACCTGCCCCCACAAGATCCGCCATGCTCCATGAACGGAACGCCCACCTAATCCACCCGCCTCCTCATGCAGGTGCACCCTGGGCCCGGAGGCTGTTTCCTGAGGTTGATGAGTGAGGCACCAGGTCTGCTGGTGCAGGGGGGGCCTGCAGGAGGCCCTGGAGGCAGCGTGGGGACCGGTGTCTGCAGGTTTGCTTTGGTGTCAAAGACAGAAATCAGATCCCAATGTCACTCACCCACCGCTCAGCCTTGGTCAGGTCAGGAGGACTCTGTCCACCTCCATCTACTCACCTGAAAAAGTGGGACCAAGGGTGACAGGAAATAACACACAGGGAAGTGCCCAACTTCTTACCCCCCCCAACACCCTTAGTTCTCTTTGTTCCTTTCGTCAGAGACCCCGAACCTTCTCACGGGAACAGAAAAGATTCCGGTTCATCACCATCACGACTCTTCTAAAGTCTTTCTCCCCCTTCCCCTGGCCACGTCCTACACAAGTGATGGCACATGCACACATGCAAACAAATACTAACACAGTGTGCGTGTACACACGCATACACATAGTATACATGCACATATGCACACTTGCACATGCGTGCACACAAAAACCTAAATACACACATACACACTTGCACACAAGCATGCACAAACCTGAATACACATACACACTTGCACACATGCATGCACATGCACACGCATACATGCACACATCCACACTTGAACACAAG